AGATTAAGTGTGCGGACTCTAATCTGGGAGAACCGGGTTTGATTCCCCACTCCTCCACTTGCACCTGCTGATGTGACCTTGGGTCAGTCACAAGCTCTGGCACAGCTGTCCTTGAAAAAGAGCAGTTTGTGTCAGAGCTCTCTCAGCCCCACCCACCTCACAGGGTGTCTGTTGTGGGGAGGGGATGGGAAAGGAGTTTGTAAGCCGCTCTGAGACTCCAAGTGAAGGGCGGGGTATAAATCCAATCTCTTCTTCTTCTTCTTCTACTGTTCTAATTGGGCATTTTGCCAATGCATTCTGCATCCACTTTGCTGAAACACTAGAGACTCACAACTCCTATGATGTCTACTGCTTCGGCATTCATCGTTCTCCAAGCACCTCCTCCTCTTACCTGTTAAAAGCCATGATGACAAGAACAGTTAAAAGCCATGATGACAAGAACAGTTAATTCTATTTAATACCCTCTGTAACTGTTTAAACTCTTGCTTAGTTCTCACAGCGTGCAGATTCAGATGAACAGCTAAACTGTCTTTTCCAAATATTCCATCCCTGTGTACTGGGATCCCAGCAGCCACGTTTCCCTGGACTCAGTGTGACCTATACAGCTCCCAGTCTCTGAACAGGGGCAACATGCATATTTTGTATGTGTGTGAACCAGTGTTAAGTCTGCACTTATTGAAGACGTCAGTGCACGCCAAACATATGAGTTGCACCAGTCTAGGCTACATTTATTGGGAGGATCTACTTGCTGTCAGGACTCAGGAGCACTGTTCCCTCTAAGCTGAGTTAGTGTGAGCTAGCTCACAGTTTGTTAGCCTCCGGCTCACACATTTTTGTCTTCGCTCAGGAAGGATGGCTCCAGAGTAAACTAATTTATGCAGTAGCCAAATAGCTCACTCACAACTTTAAAGCCAGTAGCTCACAAAGTGGAATTTTTGCTCACAAGACTCCACAGCTTAGAGGGCGCATTGCTCAGGAGGCTCCCAGTACACATGGATGTAAAGTCGGAAATGAATGGTAGTCAACTAGGGAGTGTGGTTTTATTTTTGTGGAGAGGGAGGATCTTGTGGGTTAAAGCTGCAGTCCTAAACACACGAAACATTCAGGGGGGCTTACTTATGAGTAAGCATATTTACGGTTCTGGTAGTAGTCAGTTCTCTTCTTTGTGTTCAGTGCTCCTTGGGGTGGCTTCACCAGCCTCCTTCAGTCCAAATCTTTGCACATCACCATTGAAGGTAGTCAGGAGTTAAATTCCCTGCATTTATGGCATCGAAGCACATCCATTAAATTATATCTTTGCTCCAAAATCTGCTTCAGGGCATTTCAGGAAATTACACCAGTGCACTTTTTAATTTCCATCTCCACTCCTGAGCTCTGTGATGACTATCAGCAAACCTCAAGGCTGGAGCCAGTAGGTGTCTGGGCAGGCGCCTACCTACTGAAATGCTACCTGGAGCTCCAATTTCAATCCAGCTGGCGAGTGCAGCCGAGGAAGTCAGAATCCCACCTGCTAAATGCAACGCTTTGTTCTCCTCCAGAGTGCATGGCATGTGTTAAATCAGATACGAAAATGTCCTGAAAATGCTTGCATTCTAGACAATCTATACAAGCAACATAGTAACACAGTCTGGGACCTAACTGTGCCTACAAATTCTTTCTCAAGGGCAAGCTAAAATATCCTTGCATAAAAGCCAGGGAGGAAAATGATCAGAGTACTGTGAGCAAGTCTGTCATACCCTACAACAGCAATGCTAGACTCCTAACCTGACAGGGGCTGCATTCACACACGCTAAATAGTCCACTTTCAATGCACTTTTCAACTGGATTTTGCCAGTTCACACAGTCAAATCCAGTTGGAAAGTGGACTGAAAGTGGATTCTTTAGTGTGTGTGACCACAGCCAGGGAGGGGCCGTGGCATAGCACCTGCTTTACGTGCAAAATGGTTCCAGGTTCAATCCTCAGCATATCAGCTTAAAGGACCAGGAAGTAAGTGACGTGAAAGATCTTGACCTGAGACTCTGGAGAGCCAGTGATAGAGTAGATGATACTGACACCTACAGACCAATAATCTGATTCAGTAGAAGGCAGCATTATGTGAGCATGTGCCTGTGCAACCTCTGTAGAGTTTCTCTGCCAAGTTAATGGAAATTCTGCCCTTTTAAAATCTGCACTCAGTTGCCCTAGTCACACAGCAACTGAATACATGAAGGGGTCAAGATTGAACTTTTTGTTCTGTTTGCTCCTGATCTTTTCTGCTTCTTTACAGAGACTCCACATGCAGAACATGTAGGCGTGTGAGTGCTGTCTAAAAGATCAGCAGTCTCTGGCAAAGGGGACAATAGGCAAGATTCCTCTCTCATGCATTAATTTCTCAGGTGAATAGGCTTACAGGAACGGCAGCACAGAGACTGGGCCATCTGCATACATCGTAATTTCTCTGTGATGTGCAAATATGCAACCTCTACCGAGTACTTTCCATTCATGGAGAAATCAGCAGTGATGGTCTTTAGTTGGTTTCTGATTCTGGTTCGAAGAGAAAATGCTAATCACGGTTTACTGGTTATAGCCCTTTTCGGACAGTAACACAGCTCATTTCAAGTTGGGAAGCTCATCTGGACTGGACCCCTGATCATCTTAGCAACAGAATAATCAGAAGATTTCAGCTCAATCTCCAACCCCTCTATCATCATCATCCGGGAATGAAGCCACTCATGAGGGCCAACTTTGTGGTGTGCATGCTCTTCTTCAAACTCCCTCCCTCTCTTTTGACATGAAATCTGTTTCTAATTATCTCCCTGTGTTTAAGAGCAGAGAAGTCTAAAATTGATCCTGTCATCCTCTCATCATGGCCATACCACATTCTTCTGCTTTTTACCAGCGTGATCGTCTCATCCTTTCCCATGATTTAGATGCAAGTATTTTAAGCTGCAAAAGAAACACAGACTCCCATTTCAGATGAAGGATCCCTCTGACTGTGTGGTCCTGCCAGTCTTTGGGGATAGAGCAGGGTCACTGCTTGATTATGACAAATGCCACCTTTGTGCACTTGGCAAAACACATATTCCAGTAGCCTGAGCATCTGAAATGAGTTACAAGGAATAGCAGTTAGCGCTGCTGCTAAAACCTCACTGATTTGATCTCCTGCCACTTGGAATCCACATCAAGAGAATGAAAGCTTCTCAGCTTTGTATTTAATTCACCCTGGGAAACCGGCTCATTATGGCCCTGCAGACTTGAGCTTTGCATGGCATGCAGTGTACGTTTCCGCCGTGAAAGTACTTGTGCTTTGCAAAGTCCCAGCTTGCTCTCACTCACAATGGTAATCTATTGAGGACCCCCCCAAAAAAGCCCCCCAGGGGGAAAAAACCCAGACCACCCTTTCACTGCTTAGTGTTCATATTTTCCAAGTTCTCCTCTTGCTAATTAAAGAGGGTACATCTTAGAGCCAGGCACTTAAATGGATTTTGCAGGGCACGATAGATCAGATCCAAACAGTATGGTGCTGTTGCCCTGCTTCAACCCAGCAATTTGATCCACCCACCAGAAATAGAATAGGAGGAGGGGCCGTCGCTCAGCAGCAGAGAATTTGCTTTGCAGGCAGTAAGTCCCAGGTTCAATCGCTGGCCTCTCCAATTAGAATGATCAGGTAGTAGGTGATGTGAAAGACCTCCCCCCCCCCCCCCAGACCCAGGAAAACAGCTGCCAGTCATTGACCCTGATAGACCAATGATCTGATTAAGTAAGGCAGCTTCATGCGTTGGTACAGAAGAGCAAGAGTTTCCATCAACAGTTTTACAAAGGAGGCCCAGTAAATTCTGTCTTCGTACAAAATTTCTTGCTTAACACCCATCACAAAGGCATTTGATTTTCCATACTGTATTACAGAGGGTCAAAAGCCAAAGTAAGCAAGCCAAGCCCCATTAAATCATTGCTTTGCAGATCTTCCCCACAATGTGAATACAGTTCTGCTTGCGTAGCTTCTTCCAGGAAAGCTGAAAGCCACATCTAACCCTTGAACATTGCCACACACACCCTTCACCACAGCTCCTGTGCATTAGCCACAGATTACTAACATTGCACAAACAGCAATTCAGTAGCAATTCAGCCCCAGGAATCTTGCATTTAACTTGATTAAGAACAGCAAAAAAGGGGCCAACATTCACACACTATTAACATCACCTATGAAAAGATGCACTCTACCTCAAGGACCAAGTCCATCAAGCAATAGGAGATCCGCTTTTTGGCTAACCCTATACGTCTGCCTCTTTCATTCCCTCTGGCCCTGTTCAGACCTTTTAAATCTATGAATAATAAATGCACACTACTAGGGAACACTAGATCTCTTCTGTTCTCCCTGCTTCTAACCACCATGTGTTGATCCACAAACCCACATGGATCGTAGCTATAAAAGAACTTCTGATTGCCTGGTCAATGTCTGGTCTTTCTGAAGTGCACATCTTGAGACTGCACTCGAATACTGCTCCAAGATTCACTGTGAACAGAATAATAGAATCACAGGCCATCTAGTCCAATCCTCTGCTCAATTCAGGATCAGCCTAGAGCATCCCTGACAAGTGTTTGTCCAGACACTGCTTAAAGATTGCCAGTGAAGGGGAGCTCACCACCTCCCTAAGCAGCTGATTCCACTGCTGCAGAACTCTTACTGTAAAAATGTTTTTCCTAATATCCAGCTGGTACCTTCCTGCCCTTAATTTAAACCCATGATTCCAAGTCCTATCCTCTGCTGCCAACAGGAACAGCTCCCTGCCCTCCTCTAAGTGACAGCCCTTCAAATACTTAGAGAGAGCAATCATGTCATTTTTTTCCCCCCCCCCGCCTCTTCTTCTCCAGACTAAACATTCCCATGGCCCTCATGGGGCTTGGTCTCCTGGACCCTGATCATCCTCATCACTCTCCTCTGCACCTGCTCCAACTGGTATTTAAATGGAGAGAGATTTATCCAGCAGGGACCAAGGAGAGAGAGCAAAGCTTGCCTTACCAGTTGAGTCTGCTGCAGACACTCCACCACTGGTCTGGTCCTCTGTATTTACAGACTGCAGATCTGTATAGGAAGGGGTCATACTTGGGCTGCTGGTATTCTCAGAAGTAGCTGTCCAGCTACTGTCAGAGGTAACAGGTCGTTTCTCAGAAGATTCTGACGAGAGATATGTCCAGCAAGCGGTTCTTGGAGAAAGGGCTTAAAGAGAAAAACACACACAGAGAAAAAGAAATATAGTCATCATGGCTAAAAGCAGTTGATCTGCCTTTCATAGGCTCCGATCACACCACCGAGGAACTGTGGGCAGGAAGCAAGGCTGTTTGCCCCAGGGCGAACTGATGCGCGTTTACGTGATCAGACTTCCACCCGCCTGCCCCACAGTTCCCTATGCTACTGACATTTCCCTGGTGGTTTTTTGCGCTACTCCTGCAGTGCAACGAGACGCCCCACCAATGACTCCGGGATGCCAGACAGATGTGTCTATCTGATCGCGTCCCTTTAATCCACAGGGGAATCATTTGCCTGCCGCAGCTTCCACTCCGGATGATCGCAGCCATTCATTTGTCTAGCCTTCTTTAAACCCACCTGAGACAGTAACCATTACTACGTCTCATTACAGGAAATTCCATATAAGACAAACAGTGATGCTCAATATACAGATGATCTCCTGTACAAAGTTCTTCCTCTGGTGGGTTGCTTTGTGCAAATCCACCTGTGACTTCACTGGACTTTCCCCCTCCTTTTCATTACCACATTGAGCCTTTAGATAGGAGAACACAGGACTACTCTGAGGCAGCTTTCATACTCTGCATATTCAGCAACCATGCCACAAAATGGCAAGGGAGTGATAGAAAGGTACAACAAATTGGTTAAAATAATTTCCCCCATCTAGCCAGTCAACAGCTATGGGGTGACAGAGTGCACATGGCAACTAGTTTCAGAAGTCCAGGTTTAACCATGGAAACACCAACTCAGGGATACTTCTTATGTTAAATGTCCATATACTCGGATCTGCACCAATGCATGGCTACTGACAGGGTCATCTAGACCCAGATTGTTTTATTCAGGGGTCATATCCTGAGAGCCAGTTTGGTGTAGTGGTAAAGTGTGCGGACTCTAATCTGGGAGAACAGGTTCCCCACTCCTCCACCTGCACCTGCTGATGTGACCTTGGGTCAGTCACAAGCTCTGGCACAGCTGTCCTTGAAAAAGAGCAGTTTGTGTCAGAGTTCTCTCAGCCCCACCCACCTCACAGGGTGTCTGTTGTGGGGAGGGGAAGGGAAAGGAGTTTGTAAGCCGCTCTGAGACTCCAAGTGAAGGGCGGGGTATAAATCCAATCTCTTCTCTTCTTCTTCTCTTGGGGAATGTGTATGTTACCTAGAAATGCAGGGAATTATTTTTAGTGGGAGGGGAGTTATTTGGAGCTTTATTTTATCAATATATCTAATTCGTAATGTACTTCACCTCTGCATCCTTAGACTGGGGCCATGGAGAGACAAAAATGATCTTTCTGCAAACCTGAGAAAAATCCCTGGTTTGTAGAAAAATCTGAAATCTAAAAGCAAATGAACTAAAAAAAAGTAGGAAGTTAGACCCTCCAAAATGATAGAAGTAGTGCCTGTAGCTTTCAGAAAGGATTGGCTTCAGTGGCAGGGTTGCTAGGCAATCACAATAGCACTGTCAGCCTTCAAGCCTTGGTTTCTGACAGTAAAAGGCAAGGAAGGGGACATGGCCCTTTTCTGGGCTATTTTGGCCTTTGAGGGAGGAAACCACCAGCTGTAACCACCAGGTGACTTGCTACCACACAGTTTGCATGACTCACCCAGGTCTGGCTCCTTGCTACTGTTCAAGAGCAGCCATTTTACAAAAGACAGTATAGTGGCTAGAGTTTCAGATTAGGATGTGAGAGACCTATGCTTAAATCCCAAATCTGCTCTGGAGGCTCACCGGGTGACTTTGAGCCAGTTGCAGACTCCCAGCCTAACCTATTTCATAGTGTTTTTGTGAGAATAAAATGGAGGAGAGGAGAATGACGTAAACTACTTTGTGTCACCATTGTGGAGGAAGTCAGGGTACAAATGAAGTAAAGAAATAATATAGGTGGAGATGGGGGGCAAATAAAAGGTCATTTTGTTGGTGGGTAGGAAGGAGAAAGTTGAGGATATGGGGGCTGGCAGGAGGAGAGAATAGTCTGAGGATGGGAATGCAGGGGAAAGCAAGGTGCTCCCCACAAGACTTTGAAGGTCCCCCTCTCCATGTAAGTGTCTGGCTTGGCCAGCACCACACAGCTAGGCTCATCTCAGCAAGCACTGTGCAACTGGGCCAGGCCTTGCCTGGTCTGATGACCAGCACCATGCAATTCAGCCAGAGTCTTCCCAGGGACAGGGTGCCAGAGGGAAGGAAGGAGGGGAAGCTGAGGATGGGGTGCTGGGGGGCAGGCAAAGATCCCTTGTGGGTCCCCCATCTATATCTTATACATTGTGATTTGTAAGCCACACTGGGCCACAAAGGTGGGATATAAACAAATTCCAAGTTGTTATTAAAAAATTGGGGGCTACCACCCTATCTGCCATCCTGTTCATGGAGGAAGTTGCTTGCAATCTATAATATAGGAATGGCTGCACAGATTTAAACGCTTCCAGGAGTGGGGGGGGTCTCTGCACTTGCATCCATATTTGTGGATGAGGCTGAAAAGACAATTGTTAGTATCACGATTTCTCTATGACATATGGTGTGTTCCTTCATATGTTAGTGTAGAGGCTGAAAAGACAATTGTTGGTATCACGATTTAACATATAGTGTGTTTCTTCATGTTAGTGCAGACTTTTGTGTATAAAGATCTAATGTGTGAAACGGCAAGACTTCGATTCAGTTCTATAGTTGGAGATACAACCTCCTGTCCAAGTTTAAAAAGCTTTTCCTCCCAGTATCACAACTTCATGCAATTGCAGTGGTTTTCAGGCTTAGTAAGTTCCATCTTATCAAAGACAAAGGACCCACACACACAAACTGAGAAAAATCAAGTACATTTTAAAGTGCTGCAAGAATGGCAAAAGTGGATGGGCTAACAAAAAATGTTGTAGGTAAACAATACTCAGACTGCAAGAGTACAGTCAGCAAATATGTTACACTGTTCCTTCCAAACTCTGGACTTTACTGACAAAGCGTAGAAATATGTTGTGAATTTGGTGTTTTTTTAAACTCTGCTTTGCTACTGGCCATCATTCTAAAACATAGTTGTATAACCATGATGATTAGGGACTTGTAGGCAGTATAGTGTAATGAGTAGAAACCTAGATTCCAGCCTCACCCCGTAGCAGCTAGGGGGTGAGAGAGAAAGGGGGGGGGAGGCTCTGAGGCAACTACCTACTGGACTGAAGAATACCTAGTCCCCCCACTCTGTCTTCTTCTATAGATCCTTTATACCCCAACCACCCACAATCAAATTAAAAAGGGGGTATACAAACTTTAAAATAAAGATTGGTAGCATGTAAGCTATGTGCTCCCTAAAGGTCTCTTATATGGAGACCTACTAGACTAAGGCTGTACTTATATTTGAGGTAAATAGAGACCCACTTTTCTAAGATGTTTGACTTGCCAGACAAGACACAGGTGGAAGATGAACAACAAAAGTTTATTTAACGGAAAATAGAGTATTTAATCAGGTAGACATGATGTGTGGATAACTAGTTAAATATATAAAGTAAAACTGGCTGTCAAATAAAGTAAAAAACCCTGAGGGGAGATTAGAGACTCTTTTCTCTGGACAGGTTACCTCAGAAGGTTCAAGACTGATCTTTTTTCTCACAGAGCACCTTATCACAGAACCTACACACACCAGCTAAGAATGATGGGCCCTTAAGAGGATGCCTATTTGTCACACTAAAATAAGCTTTCTTCCCTAGGCCAACCCCAAAACCTGAACTAAAAAGCCAGAGGAAGGCCTGGAAGAGCTGACGCTCCTTTCCAGAGCCACGAAATCCCTATCCAAAACAAAAAAAGTTTTTCTTCACCCTAAACTGATGCTGGCTCACCCCCTCCCATCCACTGTAGTTTCATGGGCTCTGATTGGCTGACGATCACTTGGATTTGCATGACGCCTAGGTCACAAGGGTGGTTCAGAGCTCTGGAGGAGGTGGGACTTTTAAGGACGATTGCTACCTCCTGCTACAAAGCTGGACCAGTCACAATGTGCCCATCACTCTCTCTCAGCCTAACTTGTCTTGCAGGTAGAGTTGGCAGGTGTTGGTTGGGAAATACCTGGAGATTTGGGGAGTGGAGCCTGGGGAGGGAGGGGTTTGGGGGTGGAGCCTGGAGAGGGCAGGGTTTGGGAATAATACCATAGTCCATTCTCCAAAGCAGCCATTTTCTCCAGGGGAACTGATCTTGATTGTCTGGAGATCAATTGTAACAGCAGGAGATCTCCAGGTGCCACCTGGAGACTGGCAATCTGACCTGCAGGGTTGCTATGAGGATAGCACGAAGGAGTGAGAACCCTGTATGCTGCTCTTAATTCCCCAAAAGAAGGAAGGGATAAAAATGTATTAAACAGATACTCTCTCTCAAATGAAACTTAGGGTTTCTCAAGACTTTAACAAACACTTGGGGCTGTAACAAAACTGCCTGCAGGGGAAACTAATGCGACTGATCCACACTTTACAAGCCAATTCACAGCAAACAGTTCTTGCCCAGACCACTGGAACATCTGTATAGGAAATCCACATAAGCACAGTGATACATATACCTTAGTGCAATAAACATGAATGGAAACATGTTAATTTCACTTTGCAACCACTTCACTGCAGAATAAATGGACATGTGTTTTTCATATGTTGCATATCTATCTATTACATGCTTCTCCTGCCCTTCCTCAAAGAAGCTCAGCAGCCTACGTGGTTCTTCCTTCCTCCTTTTAATCCTCATCTAAACCTGTGAAGCAGGTTAAGCAGAGAGCAAGTGACCAGCCCATGCTACTGAACTTCCTGGTTGAGTTGACTTTGACCCTGGATCTCCGGGGTTCTAGCCAGACACACTATTCACTTACTCTACACTGGCTCTCAAACCATTTTCCTAAATGGAAATAAAATCTGTAGGAAAACCATCTTGGTAAAATAAACTTAAGAATACATCCCAAGCAAGACGTCAGCCATTGTGGCAGTAAGACTACTGAAAAAACAAAGGCATAATAGGATGGCTTAAGGAAGAAAGGGAGACTGCAGAATTGGGTCTTCATTGTAGATGTTGGGTGACTTTCCCACTTTCTTTAGGGTTGCCAACAGAAGAAGAAGAAATTGGTTTTATACCCTGCCCTTCACTACCTGAAGGCGTCTCAGAGCGGCTTGCGATCCCTTTCCCAATCCCTTTCACAGATACTCTGTGAGGTAGATGAGGCTGAGAGAGCTCTTTCGAGGACTGCTCATGAGAGAACAGCTCTGAAAGAACTTGTAACTGACCCAGGGTCACACCAGCAGCTTCATATGCAGGAGTGGGGAATCAAACTCGGTCCACGCTCCTAACCAACACACCAAACTGGCTCTCCTGAGGGAATAAACAGTCTGGGGGGGAAAGCGTCCTCTCTCTTTAATAGAGGATTAATGGGATGTTATTTACTTAGTGATGTTGCTTACCTCCATGATATGAAAAGCTTCACCTACCAATTTCCACATATTAAGCCTCTATTAAAGGGACAGGACATTTTTCTCCACATTGTTGGCAACCCTAGCCGATGTACAGCTTTGCTCTCCCTAAAACTCATAAATACTATATGGAAACGAAAACTACATCTGTTGCTGGAATGACATTCACACCTCTGAAGCCAATTCTACCTAGAAGAAGTGGCTTGAGAATTCCTACCCCAAATCTGTATTAATTAGCACTGCATCCTACATGCTAAAACATTAACTACAGCAGCCTACTCCCCACAGCACCAGGTAGTGCTTCAGATCAATTTTGATTTTAGCATTACTCACAAGCACCTTTCACTTCCAATTATTGCTTTCTTTTCTTCTCTCTCAGATGCCATATTATTTCCCATTCAATACTTGCCAGGTTCAGAGGAAATACATTAAGCTTCATGTGAGACTCCCACTGCAAAAATATTTCACCAAGGACAAGAGGTCATGTCCAAGTGACTCCAACCATACAGAATCAGACAAAGCCTTTGACTGAAGCAAAAGCTAGATATCACTTGACCTTTTCTAGCTCTCATTTTCATGCTTCACCACATTCCAGGGTGTTGCTCATGCCAACAATCTGATTAGTACCTTATTAACTTGCCATTTGAGATGGTGCCTTATATTGAATGAGAGTATTTAAGACCCTGTTCTTGAATAAGCTTCAAGACTAGGGGTGTGCACCCAAAACATTTTTGGTAGTTTTCAGGTTCGGTTAAACCAAGCCTGAAAAATATCGGTATATACTGACATTCCCAAATCCCAATATCGGTAAGATATTGGGGTTCAGGAAAATTCGGTACTGCCAAATATATTGGGCCATTATACCCTATAGGGAAAGTGCCCATAGAGTATAAAGGCACCGGAGCCTTTCCTTCCCCAGTCCCCAACCTCTAGTCAGTTTCATTCCCCCCCCCAACAGCTGGGGAGTGAAAATGACCAGAGGAAGGAGCAGGGTGGCTGAGGAAGGAAAGACTCAGGAGGAAGGCATGTTTAAATGTCCCCCTCCCTTCCCAGCCTGCCTTTCCTCCCAGGATTGGCTTCCCCAGGCTCCCCACAACTGCGGGGTGCCTGTGGAACCCAAGAGAAGGCAGTTTAAACTGCCTTCCCTCCAAGACTGAAACTGACCAGCTCTGCCTTCCTATCCCCAGGCGCCCCGCTGCTGTGGGGTGTCTGGGGAAGCCCAGGTCTCGGAGGGAAGGCCGTTTAAACTGCCTTCTGTCCAAGACTGGGCTTCCCCAGTTGCCCTGCAGCTTGCGGGGCACCTGGGGAAACTGAGGGAAGGCAGTTTAAACTGCCTTCCCTCCAAGACTGAAACTGACCATTGCCTTTCATCCCCAATTCGAGTCCCTGAATAAAAGCCAAATAAGATCGGCTTTTATTCGGGAAACCTTATCAGCAGCCGAATCAGGTTAGAGAATCTGATTCAGCTTAACTAATACCTGAAAAATACCGATAAGGTACTTTGGGGGTATTTTTTTCAATCTGGCAAAGCTGAATGCACACTCCTATTCAAGACTGCTGTAATGCTTCTGTGGGAACCTGCCCCATATTGCACCAGTAACCAAGACTGGTTCTCCACCCAAGGTACCCAAGAGACTGTTTGGGGAGGCACAATGAAGAAGGTGTTGACACACCATAGAAGCCAGGGATCAGGAGTAGACCATCTGCTTGACTTGTAGAAGGTTCCAGGTTCAGTCCTTAGACTGGGTAGTAGGTGATGTGAAAGACCTCAGCAAGAGACCCTGGAGAGCCACTGCCCGTCTGAGTAGACAATACTGACTTTGATGGACCGATGGTCTGATTCAGCATAAGGGAGCTCCATGTGTTCATGTGTGCTCAGCTTGTCTCTAGTTACCAACAGCATGGGAGGAGAAAGGCACTGCCTCCTAGAACTGTACCAGCAATGCTACAAAGGCTCAGCTTGGGCCCAAAGCACTGTGGTTTGGGTGGAGACAATTGGTATACTTTACTTGGGATGATTGTGGAAGAGAAGGGGAAAGCCACGGCTCAGTGGTAGAACATGTGGCATGCAGGAAGCCCCACATTCAATCCTGGGCATCTCTGGTGAAAAGGATCAGGAGACAATTTGCAAAACCTTTGCCTGAGACCCTGGAGAGCCACTGCCAATCAGAATGGACACTACTGACCTTGACAGACCTAGCATTTGTCTCAATATAAGGCAGCTTCATGTGTTTGTGACAAAATACCTTGATGTTGTCCTGCAAGTAACATATGAAATCAAGATGCCATTATTTTGTATGACAGCTGTAGTTATTTCCTATCACATCATTTCCAGGCCTGGCATCATACTGTTATTTTAATAAGAAATCACATTTCTGTGATGAGGGATATTTTAGCTGTTCCTCTCCCATGGCGTGAACTATTTTGTACTCAGCAGGACAAGAAAAACCAAACTGAAAATAAAAGTCATGAACCAACACCTTGGAGATGGTCTCTTCAATCAATCATCTAAGTAAGGGTCCAACTATTCCTTTTGGCTTGCAGAAGCCTGGATCAAGCATTACAGGAGTGCCCATACTATGCCATTGGGGGAAATGTGGCTATTACCCTTCTGCTGGCTGCCAAGGTCACTGAATCTTAAACATACACTCACTGCAAAAGAAGACTGCTGTCAATATAATTTGTTGCCACTCCTGCCTATATTACTGCCAATAGACCTGAACATAGGAAGACATTTCAACCTGTGTGCTCGGGTGAAGTGCTGGTCCAGGGGGCATCTTCAAACTGGACCCAGGTGCTGAAGGATGAAGATAAATCAAGTTTTGGAGATGGATGGGTTTCAAGTGAACATTTTGATGCAAGGTCTGCAGTCGCTTTGTCCATTGAGTCTCCCAGCTCAGCTTGGGCAAGAGTCTGAAATTCTCCATCCAGGTTTTGAACGCCTTCAGAGGACGTATCAGATGAGGAGAGAAACTGCTCAAGAGATTCCACAGGATGACCTGAAACAAGAGACACAATGTTCTTGGATAACATAGTATGGCAGCGGCCTTTATTTTCTTTAAACTTTTTCATCATTTGAAACTATTTGTAAAGTTTTAATGTCATGTACCAGAGCTACAGTTTTGTGCTTCTAAGGCCACAGCTGCATTATTTTTTTTAAAAATGCAGGTTTCTGCTGAAAATGGCAACCATACATCAAGATCTTCCCTTCCCTATCTCTAACATCTGCCTCTTTACAAGATCCTTTGCTGAACATTTTCTCAACCCTGCCGGGCTATGACATGGAGCTGCTATGGCAGAAAACAAACATTGTAATGACACGGGGTAAGCTGAACTACATATCACCGATGGGGAAGATGGAACTCAACTTGAGCCCTGCTGTTTTTCATTGTCATCCCTGCATTTCTCATAAAATACAGCTCTCCCACAAAAATAGAAAGTTGTAGGGCTGTAAGGAACAATGAAGAATACCTTTTATTTCACTGATCCTGACAATGTTGTCACATTGTCACGTTTCCCTTTTTCACTATGTGTGGCATACTACTGATTCATTATTTTATGCTGCCCTTCCCCTAGGGAGTTCAGAACAGCTTACAAGGTGTCCCTTCCCCAATCATATCATTGCAGCAACCCTGTGAAGCATGTTAGGCTAAGAGAGAGTGACTGGAAAGGTTGCCAGGCCCCAGTTGGGAGATCTTTCACTCCCAACTCCTATTTTCTGCTGAGAAAAAAATTACAAAATGACCAGCAGACCAACAGTGTGATGCCACTTAGGGGGGAAAGCCAGGAGTGACATCAATCCTCCCTAGGAAACGCTGGAAACCCCGGAAGGGACATCACACCATTGCCACCGTCTTTCCCCTGCCCTCTCGGTCTCTTGCTGGTTGTCAGGACATGCCTGCCAACTCTAGTGACTGGCCCAAGGCCAGAGAGCTTCATGGTTAAGCAGATACTTGAGTAAAACATGCAAACAAACTCCTGTAGGAGATATAGGACATGCTGATGTCCAGCCTACTGATTTGACTTCTATCGAGAGATGGCTTTTTACGTTTAAGGTGAAGGTTTGGATGCAGAATGTGGGGATAACCATAGAGATACAAATATCATAGCCAGTTTTGTGTAGTGGTTAAGTGTGCGGACTCTAATCTGGGAGAACCGGGTTTGATTCCCCACTCCTCCACTTGCACCTGGCTGGATGACCTTGGGCAAGCCGTAGTTCTGATAAGAGCTGTTCTTGAAAAAGAGCAGTTTCTGTCAAGAGCTCTCTCAGCCCCACCTACCTCACAGGGTGTCTATTGTGGGAAGGGGAAGGGGAAGGGAAAGAAGTTTGTAAGCCGCTCTGAGACACCTTTGGGTAGTGAAGGGCGGGGTATAAATCCAATCCAATCTCTTCTTCTTCTTCTTCTAATTCACAACCCTTGATTTCTAGCCCAGTTTGGGAAATTCATTGATCTCTGCTTAATTTGTCTGCTGGGTAGGGCTGGTCCTGCTCCCAGTAGCAGGAAATAAGGGTGCGTTGGGCCACTGCGGTGGGTTGGGCTGGCCTTGATTCATGTCGCATGCTACAAACTGTGCGCTATTGAGACAAACCCTAGGCAAAGGGATGCACCTCCAGTGAAATGATAAAGGGGGTCTGCACTTTGGGTGTGCAATGGCAGCCTATGGACAGAGTTGCACTGCATCAAAGGAAGTGACTGGTGGCATCAGTCTGCTTCATCAGACAGAAGGAATTTACCCTGGGAGGTAACTGGGAGGAGCAGCCCATCACTGAAAGAGACCCACTCAGACTGCTGGGAAGCAATGGCGTTGGCCAGTGATGTCATGCTCGCTGCAGGTCACTCTTCATCTTCATGCCCCAGTCTGAATAATTGTCCACAGATTCTTTCTTTCTGTAAAGCTCTTTACTGCCTTTCAATTCCAGCAGCTGTAAAGAAGATCAGAATTACGTTTGATTCTGCACACATCAATTTCATGTACCAAATGACAGCAATGAGAATATTTTGCATCTACCCCTTGAATACCATTAACCACCATCAATCAATTTCCTTTGCTAATTTCTGCATTGCCTGTGTATTGCTGCTCACACTCCCTTCAGGTTTATAGAGTTCGCAGCTGCTATAAACACATACCTGCAGCAAACTCCCTGGTAAGGATGCAACACCTGCATTTAATACCTTGCTCAGAAGGGAGAATTACATTCTGATTCCATTGGTGCATATTAGGCGTGCCCAGAGGTCATTTCGGGGGGGAACACGGGGGAACGCAGTTCCCCCGGGTGAGGTGCGGGGGGCGGGGCACATGATGAAGCCCCACCCCCCGCTTCCGGCCGCCCCGCTTCCAGCCCTCATTCAGCCAGGAGGAGGCAGGAGAAGAGGGACGGTAAGTTGCTTCCTCCCCGCCTCTCCCCACCCCTGCCTGGCTGGGGCCAGCTAGGGCCTTGGCGGGGCTTCCTCGCACTCCCGCCGGCCTTGCAGGTCCACCGCCGGGCCCCTGATGTCAGGGGGTGTGGCATATGCTAATGAGTTATGCTAATGAGTTCCCCTAGCTCTTTTTCTACGAAATGACCCCTGGGCGTGCCTTCACAGATGGTTGTTTCTGCACCCAAGCCACTGCTTGGGGTGGCACAGTGAGGAGGGTGTTAATACACTGCAGAGACTCGGGTGACTCCCAGTCACTGGCAGGGAAGGAGGTGGCAGGCATCACTCCCTGGACCTGCACCAGCACTGGCTGGATCTGAACTAAGGCCACACAGAACGGCCAGGGCAACAGGGGCTTGGTTCAGACCCGGCTGGCAGAGACAATGGAGGAGGTAATGGATGTACTTTGCTTGAGGGACCTTAATTCAGCCTTGTTTTTATACACTTTATTAAGCAAACTCCAACACTGGAGTGTAACCATAGGGAGACAAGATTCCTAGAAAGTAGTGCCCAGTCCCAAAGCATTCCCACTTCTGTGTGAGCCCAGGCACACAAGGTCCCAAATTTGGATCAGGTCTGCAGCATATATTTATTTACGTTATTTATAGTCTGCCTTTGCCACTGAGACTCAAGGTGGTTTACATAGGGTGAGTCAATGCAATCAACAGGATGGAACACTCAGTAAACAATGTAATAGGATTAGGGTTATAGAACCAACTGGAAATCTAAAAACAGAACTGACGCAAAGCATAAGTGTTAACATGACCAGTGTTCCCTCTAAGCTGAGTTGGTGTGAGCTAGCTCACAGTTTTTTAGCCTCTGGCTCACACATTTTTGTCTTAGCTCAGGAAGGACGGCTCCAGAGCAAACTAATTTATGCAGTAGCCAAATCACTTGCTCACAACTTTAATGCCGGTAGCTCACAAAGCAAACTTTTTGCTCAGAAGACTCCACAGCTTAGAGGGAACATTGAACATGACACGTTAAATAATGAAAAATTACATAGCCTATGGAGACAGGTACTGGGAATGGTTCAGAGGGCACTCTTAGCTCCACTGGGGGCTACGTGTGCACTAATGAGCTACAGATTATATTTCCAAAAGGGCACAAATAGCCCTTCCGCAGCCACATCGGGAAAATGGTATGTGGGAAGGTCTAAGGCAGGGGTTCCCAAACTTTTTGAGCTTGCGGGCACTTTTGGAATTTCGAAAGGGGGTGCTGAATGCCATCCAAAAATGGCTGCTGCAGAAGGCAGAGCCAAACACAATACCTCCCTATTCACTTTGCAAAAGAATCACAGAAGGGTAGAAGAAATGAAGGAAGTCCCAAGGCAAGGGAGGGGGAAATAAAAGGAATAATAAAAAGTGGGGAAGCCTGAAGGTGAAATGGAACTACACACCAAGGAAAACACAGGGGCGGCTTACCAGCCCCTGCTTACCAGCCCTCCTGAGCCTACTGCAGTAGAAAATCCATTTCACTGAATGAGGGCAGACAATAGGGTTACCAACTCTGGGTTGGAAATTTCTGGAAATGTTGTGGGTGGAGCATTGGGAAGTGGAGTTTGGGAAGAGGAGGGACCTCAGCAGGGTATAATGCCATAGAGTCCATCCTCCAAAGCGGCCATTTTTCTCTCCAGAGGAAGAAATCTCTGTAGTCTGGTGATCAGCTGTAATTCCGGGAGATCACCAGACCCCACCTGGAGGTTGGCAGCCCTAGCAGTCAATAACAACCCCAATTTCTAAAACAGCTTGCCAGAAGCCAGGGGAAGGACTGGCCAGTACTATGGTGCCCACAGGCACAGTGTTGGGGACCCCTGATCTAAGACTCATCTCCACTTGTTGCCAGGGTCTCACTCTGAATAGGGCTCCCTTGTGTCTAAGAAACAGGGAACTGGGTAATATGTCTCTTCACTGAATGTTATGACATCCCCAGAAGAAAAGTAACATGTTGGCCCACAGTTATATAATGAGATGGGCCCTGCATTACCTACGCAAAATCAGTATTCCAGATCTGGCATTATAGACCAGAGGGATACTGAGGCAGGCTGTGCAGAAACAATTGCATTGTAGTACAGTGAACAAACATACTGGCAATATTGCTGAAGCACCCTTACATGGAATTAAAATCGTATTAAAGTAAGTAACTTCAGGCCAATCAATGGTATTTATCCTCAATATAAATTTGCAAAAAAAATCTTTACCAATATGGATGAGAATTGTTGGCACTGCTGGACTAAAAATGCAACATTTTACCATGTGTGATAGAAATCCTCAAACATGTAAAATATTGTCAGATAGCAATGGAAGTAATTTTGGTTGGTATAGAGTCTTAGGCCCTGACCTGGATGGTCCAGGCTAGCTTGATCTAGTCAGATCTTGGAAGCTAAGCAGAATCAGGCCTGGTCAGTATTTGGATGGGCAATCACCAAGGAATCCAGGGTCACTACGCAGAGAGTTGGAAAAGGGCAAACCACCTCTGAATGTGTCTTGCATTGAAAACCATACAGAGTTTCCACAAGTCGGCTGTGACTTGACGGCACTTTCCACACACCCCATGGAACTTCAGAGTGTCATGCACAACAGAACTACGTCTGTTTAATTGCGTAGCAAAGATTACAAGAACTTTCTTACATCATTACCGTGGTTCATTTATTTTATGCCTGTCCTTGAAGCAAACCTCTGTACCACATAGGAGGGAGCAGTTAGAGCATTTTAAACGCATGCTCAATATGATCAGATCAACTACATTACTGCAACTGAAAAACTTCATAAAAGTCTGGAATCACATGTTGCAACACACAGAAGATTACAGAATAAACTGATATTATTTTTCAGGTATTTCTAATTTGGATATTTATAAATAATTTAAAAGGGAAGTTAAATACCTTCAGAATCAAGGGGTCAGAATTTAAGATCAATTTTCCCAAATCAGGGATGTGCAGACCACCCCTCCAACACCACTCTGCCCTGGGAAATTCTGCTAATGCTTTTGAAATAACAACATCAGAGCCAGATATGAAGCGTATGCAGGTTTCCCAAATATAGAAATATATTGAAATTCTGTCATACAGCTTTTAATAGCATAGAATATCATAGCCATGGTGGTGGGGGGGGGGGGGGGGGTGGGGCAGTGGTCCTACCTAGAATCTTTTTAGCAGGGATTTACGGCACTACTCAAAACATACAGGTTAAATTAGTAGTATCATTTAAGTCAGAAGGGACTTCAAAATTTCTGGGTGTAAGGGCCAAACTGCATGTACTATTGAAAATATGTCTTTGATCATGCCAACATTTAATTCAGCCTTAAAAAGTAGCCCTGTGGGGTTGCAGACGGACTGGTTTCAAGGAACAGCACACAACATTTTCCCCAGTCAAAATGGATCCTCAGCTTCTTCTTGGCTGCTTTTCTGAACCGGGGTTCAATCAGGGTTCGATCTAGCCAGTTTTTCAGTCTCACCCAATTGCCACTCTTACTTACAGCTCCCATCCCACATATATTTTGTCCATGCAGGTTCCAGGATACCCAGAAGAGCCATGGGGTCAAAGGGGATACAATGAAAGTGCTTTGGGTCTCCCAACTGTGGAGAAACATGGAATATAAATGAAGTCAATAAATTATTAAAAGCAGGTTGCACATAACCATGGCCCTAGCAAGGAAAAACACAAGTACCTCTACCATGCTTGTCTTTTTTTGTTATTAAGACTACAAACAGCTGGGGGGGGTCAGTAATGAGGAGACAGCACTGAAGGGGGGGAGGCAGTGGAGTGGTGTGGTTAGTGTCTAATTAGGCCGTGGGTTCAAATCCCCACGTAGCCAGGGTGATCTTGAGCCCAGTCACTCTCTCTTCCAGCTTAACCTAACCCACAGAGTTGTCGTGAGGGTAAACTGGAGACAGGGAAGAATCACATCCTGGGCAGAGGGGTGGGATAAAAATGACATCCAGGGTCCGACATTATGGCCAGGGTCCGACATACCTGAGGGACTACCTTTCCCCACACATACCCCAGAGAGCACTACGGTCTGCGGCACAACACCGGCTAGTGATTCCAGGCCCCAAAGAGGCCAGGCTCACCACTACCAGGGCTAGGGCCTTTTCGGTGGCGGCTCCTACCTGGTGGAATGAGCTCCCAGAGGAGATCAGGGCCCTGTGAGACCTTGTACAGTTCCATAGGGCCTGCAAGACGGAGCTCTTCTGCCAGGCTTTTAGTTAGGAGCCGCCCACCACTACCACCAATTATTATTGTTAGTAACACCGGGGTAGTTGGTTGGCCCATATGGAGATTGAGCCACAGTAACATACGAGACAGATACAGCTGAATTGGGACTTGTGTCCATCTACAGGATGCCATCTTCAATGTGATTGGAAGATCATTTCTATGTTGAGCACTTTAATTGTAATGATATGGTTGTTTTATCTGGTTTTATAG